ATATCTGAGATTGCTAGATCTGGGCAGAAAGAGTACCTATCTTCTGTTACGTAGGGAGAAGGAAGAGAGGGTCTTGTTTTCATCCTACCCAAAACACTGGGATGAATTATTAACCAATCAAATAATCTGACAGCAGCTAGAGGAGATGAAGGTGATAAGAACAGCCAAAACAGATTTGCTCAGTGCAGATCGGTGTGACTTCTTTCACTGTCGGGGAGGAAGCTGAGTTGATAGAAAGAAAATTAAAAACATGATAGATTTTGACTTCAGTGAGCCTTTTGACACAGTTCCACATGACATTTTGCATTTGCGTATATGATTTTTTCCTTCCTGAAGTGCAGTACTGGGTGCATTTCTTTCCTGAATTTTATCTTAACAATTTCAGGCCACATGTCCAATTTCTTATGATCTTTCATAATTGTTGCAAATACTTTAAGTTTCTCCTTTGGAGATTTTGAATGACATAGTTGATTATAAAGGCTATTTGTTACCTCTCCCATATTATTAATGGATATTTTTATGATTAATTGACATAGGACAAAGCAGTACAGTATCCCACTTGATATTTTTCTGTGACAGTGAAGATAGTTTTGCAGTTAGCTGAGCATCCGCACTGCTATCATTTCATCCAGCTCATACGTACTGTATCTCACATTCTCTAATCTCAGCTTGATGGACTTTTTCATACAATATGTATTAAAAACTGTGAAATTCTTTCATTTAAAGAAATATATCTTTAGGATGCTGTGTGTTCTAAAAACATACAAAAGTTGCAAAGTAACTTTTCCAAGGAAAAAGAAATCTGTCCAGGCTATTAAAGGCCAAGGTATTAGCTTCTAATTCTAGTACTCCTTGAGCGACAGCTTGTGAGGGTGAAGGGAGCAAAAGACAAAAATGTCATGTTTGTCCTATTCTTGAACTCTCCTCTACTTACTGGCTATTAGGGACTAATTAGGGACAGGTGAGGGCTGATTCTAACCTAGTGCAAACAACATCACATGGGACTGTTCTAAAAGTCTTACTAAAATCAGAGCATAACAAAACTTCCTCAAAGTCCTCAATATTAATGTATCCCCATTTATTGCACTTGCTATGACTGGCTCTCATTGGAATGTATTTCTTCCCGTTCTGACCCCAGTGGAGTTACAGAGTTTCAATGAGGATATCTTGCTTTACCCTTTGGACACCACAGAGGAAATGTGTTAGGGATGAACCCCTTGTGGAGTGCCCTTGTTTTAAGATGTGCCATGCCCTTAGCAAGGAATCCCTTCTTGCATGTTAAGATCTATTAACGTTAAAAGAAACACAGAACAAGTCTAAGAGCCCTGTTCTGTATCCCAAAGCAGAATAACATCGTCTCACCTAAGAAAGCTGGCTTCCTTGACTTCTGTGTGACACTGCAAAGGATTTCCTATGTTCTTTTATGGTTTACTACTGAATTATATTTTAATTCATTCCAGGATTTGCGCAGCTTGTTGCTGTCACAGGCTTTGGAAGGCACTTTAGTAACACCTTGATGCATCACCTTACAGGAAATGCTTAAGGCATAATTTTCTCAATATAGTCATAGCTAGTCTCTTTCTGTGAACGTTATATAAAGACCAAACGTGCTGCCACAGATGGCAAAATTGGATGTAGGATGCTTAATTTGAATAACATTCTCTTTTACTCTATGGTGGTTTCAGCAGGGGGGAGGAGTCTTTTCACACATTTACTTCTGTCTCTCTTTCCATTCAGCCTGTTGCCTTGTCAAAGAATGGCATTGGCAAATGGTTCTTTCTGTCCACTAAGAGTAAGACAACTAAATTAAATTAACCTCAATTACTAAAAATTACCAAAAAAGCCATAGTAACCAATCTTATTAAAGAACAACTAAGTTTGTGGAGTCCCCTTACTGAAAGATTTGAAGAACAGACTTCTAAGAAACAAATATTTGCCAGGGAATTATTTAGGTATATTCCATTGAGCTCAAAAGCACGGCTTTATGTTAGATAACTTACTGCTGCAACACATCTATGAGTAGAAAATCTATTCTGTGTTTCATTCCAGAGGATACCAAACTTGTTCAGAAGCAAACTGAAATTAATGGCGCTCTCATTAAAAAATAGCTTGTCTAGCAAGTCCCCTAAACTGAATCCGTGTTCAGTACAATGGGTGGAGAAATATACAATTAACCAAAAAATACAGAGAAAGGTTGTATCCTTTCCACAGAGAGAAGCCAGGACACCAAGTACACAATACTACAACACAGTAGTATTTCATGAAGTAAATTAGGAAGGGATGGTGTAAGCAGGAGTTGTGGCCAAATTATATTAATTTAAGGAAAATGGTGATGCGTATGTTTAACTTTTCAATGTCTTGTTTATGTGTTTTTTGCTCAAGAGGAAGAGGGATGGAGCTGTAAGCAAAGCATGCTACTAGCAGGCATATCATGTGATCTGGGGCAATACAGAGCTATAAAAAGGATGGGATGCTATTTGCCTTTCCTCAAGGACCACATCAACATTATTACTATTATGCTGCTGCTCCCAGAAGACATATTAAAGGGAGACTTTCAAATTTTTCCACAGTTAGAACGGTATTTTATCTCCTAAATATTACTTTGCTTCTCTATTAAATATATCTATTTGAATCTTTTCATATGGGCCTCATCAACGGAGCTCATCAATACCTAAGTATTCTTACTCAGAGTCTCATGACTACCTAATATATGCATAATCATCAGAGAAGGTACATGATTTCATTGTGGACCTCTCCAATAGTTATTTCATTTACAAGAACAAAAACTCTACTTCTGTTACTCATAGAGGAGCATCTACTGAAATCCTGCAATTTATTGTTAATAAAATCTGGTTTCTGCTAGAAAGCACAATACAGGAAAAAATAACAGGAAAATTAAGATCTCCCCTTGCTTTGTCCTGCTTCTTCCCTCTGAGTAGCACATAAGACATATGCACCTGACTTAATGCTGCCAAATAGATTTTTTTTTAAAAAAAGAGGCAAGAAGCTGAGAGGTTGGGAGTGGGAGGAAATCCTCCATCCCCCTTTTTCAACCATGAAAAACATTTAGAGAAAGTTTCTTGTAGAAACGACGAGCTGCAAAGCGTTCAACTGAAAAACCAAATTCATGCTATTGTTCTTTTAAACAGCAGCAATGAAACATTTATGAAGATTACTGAAATAAAATTAAGGCTGCAAAGCAGCATTTTACTTGAACTGAAAGAGCAAATTTGAAGGCAGTGAAGATATCAATACATCAGCATTTCCAGAGGCACTGCAAATAGCTTAAACAGAAAAAGTATTAAAAACACTCCTCTTGGGCATAAAAAGAAGTTACCACACATACCAGGAACCAAAGCAGACACATCCACCTCATTATGTATGAACAACATGCTCTGAATAAGCCCCACAAACTGATAGCACAGAAGGAACTGAAAAGATGACAGACCCTATTTATAGAATGGCTTTAATATTATGGAATCATCTCCATGTAATTTTCATCTGTTTCCACAAAAAAGAGGTGTATTCTTGACTTAGATCACTGGCAGAATTATCATTATTATTTTTACATATACCTTAAACAAAGAAGCATTTCTGCAGTATCACAAAATTGTAAGAGGTAGAGATTCCCACACTTCACTATTTCCACCTATGAAAAAGAATGTCCCTAAATAAAGATAAGATGGTTTATCCAAAAATAGATTTGTGGAAATTTACAAAGATCAGAAGAAGATCTTTGTGACCTTTGCGAGTCCTTATGTCCTAGAGTATAAGAAAATATACTTGATAGTTGGATTTAGTTTAACATTTTATAGGTCACAAGCAGATGCTCTCCCACTGGAAAAGGATGGAGTTTTTTGCCAAAACCATTCTCTGACATTTAAAAATGCTTGTCTGGTGTGTCCAGTGTTGTGCAAATACAATTGATATAGACTAAGGAAAAATTCTAACAAAGAAAGAAAAGAGTATTTACTTGTTTGCAACTTTCCATTTCAAAGACCTCTCCCATTGTTCCTTATTTATTTCAGTGCAAACAGAAATGTATTTCCTTTAGCAATTAATGGTGCATTCACCTACTCAACCTTTCTGGTTTAGTTTGCTTGTTTAGTGTAATTATTTTTTTTTCCTAGTCAACTTTTCAATTTTGAAATAGGAAAGAAAAAAATGCACCTTTTTTTTTTTTTTCTATTTTTTGTCTATTAAACTTCTTCTTCTATGTTCAGTGCCTGGCAAAGGTACACAACCTGCTCAGGAGCTCACGTGTTAAGAAGGGATGCCTCCTTGCCCTCGGTGAATGAGACAGCAGAATTTAACACAGCATGGGACAACCTTGTTCTAGCATGTTGGCTGGCTTTTCCAGCAAGCTGGATTATGAACATTTACTCCCATATTTTTAACTGGCTGAAGAATTTTCCTCACTGTTCATAAGCTGCTAGAGAGAACATGTCATTAAAACATGCCCAGTAATACATACGGCTGTTTCTGGGATCCACACTGGACTCACCTCACTGTACTATGCCTGAGCCTTCCCCAGCAGGCACAGAAGAGGACTCTGAGATGTGAATAAACTGCTACCAGGTGAAGTCACTTATGAGTTATCACTTAATATACTTCAGGCCTTGCTGTTCCTGCCTTCTTCCTCTTCACTCATACAAAGAGCCTCAAGATGTATCAACTTTTTATGCTCCTTTTTTGTAACTAGACAATATCCTCTTAAAAAAAATATATCCTAAGCCAAAAAACTGGGTTTAGGATTAAACCTAGAAATAATATTTCACTGAATTTCACTGAATTTTAGAGTTGGAAGGGACCATAGAGATCATCTAGTCCAACTCCCCTGCTGAAGCAGGATTGCCTAGAGCTAGAGCATGTTACTCAACTGCTTTATCAGCCATTACACTTAATCCTTAATATTTGTTTATATTTTAACCTGTGGTAAGGGAATAAAATCAGAACTTTAAATATCAACCAGGTTAATGGATTTTTATAACCATACTTACAGAAAAAACAGCAGCCAGAGTCTCAACAGCACCAGTACTTAGGGTAACGTAGGGGATTGTTTCATGATTGATCCCAGCTTCACTAAAGATGTTGTTTGTGTAGTACCAGATCTGTGTCAGAGAGAAGAAAATGAGTTATTAATCGTTACATAGCATACATTAATAGCTTGGACTACAAGATACTGGCATTCAGTTCAAGCATCTGATCTGCCAGAAACCAGACTTGTTAAAACACTGAGCACCCCTGAATGATCGAGGGCTGGGACAACAGATGAAGGAAAGGTGCAGATTTCAGGTGGATTAGTCACAACACGGCCGCTGTGCTTCTGCTTGCAGACCTCGGTAGAATTACAAGCAGCTTTAACTCAATTTAGCTTAATTCACTTTAGGAGTAAATAAAAGAAACTCACTTTAAGCTTGAACAAAAGGATACAAATAGGTTTCATGTGGCTGAGCCCCACTGCTCAAAAAGCAGGATTGGGTGGTTTTATGGAATACTGCAATGGCACCTAACAACAGAGAACAGGGAAGAGATGCTGAGAGGCACTGCAAGAACTGCTCCTTTTCAGACAGAAGGTGTGAAATTTATCTCACTTTAACCTCAGTGCAGTGTGGACATCTGCAGTCAAGCCATCACCCTAATCTCTCTATTATCAACAGAAAGAAAAGGTATTTTTAGAGTGAGAGCTGTTTGGTGAAAAGTAAAAAGCTGCTTTTAGGTTGAAGTGAATCATAGGATAATGGACAGACACACAGCTACCAGACTAGAAGAAGGCTTTTGTGTTTGTTCAGTAAAACCATACCCAGTGATGACAATATCCAGACAGAGAATATATATATTTAACATAACAACTCTGCTAAGTATCGAAGCTGCATCGCTATCACAAATAAAGACTGAAGACCATGTTGTATTTATGTTGGGCTCAAGGTGACAAAAAGGATCAACAAAAGATTTTGTCTGCCAAAAGCAAGTAACAAGGAGAGACTGCCTTGGAGAGGGGAAAGATAATTGATTTACTAGAGAAGATGAAAACCAATTGAAACAACTGATTATGAGTAGAAAATAAAGTTCTAAACCACAGCTGATTACCTGTGTCAACAAAACTGAAAGCCAGAGATAATAATGGCACTAAACATAAAACTAGTAGTGAAGTTTTTTTCCATATGCTGTCCATGTGACAAGCCCTAGCAGGGTGAGCACTTTACTCCAGTAAGTCTAAAGTGGCATGTGTTATATGTTACCCATGGTGTTCCCAAACTTTTTCACACCAGGGATCCCTCTAACATTGACCCAGTTTTCCAGTCCTTTTATTTCTCCTGCAGCTCCCCACATACATTAATTCCCAAGGAATTCACCTCTTCAACAGCAAAAGAAAGCAAAAAATAACCAAAAGAAAGAGAGAAAAAAAAGAGATGGGCGACACCACAGACACAAACTGTGTTGCACGCTGGATGCACACTGCATGCTCATCCCTTCCTACACTACCTGCTGCCAGGTCTTCTCCACAGCAAGCGTGAAGCACACCCTCTGGTAGGTCTTTTGCACACTGAGAACATGAGTTGCTGCATGGCTCCCCTCCCATCCCCTACGTGGTTTCTTGCCATTTGAAATACAGTCCCTGCCTTAAGGACAGACCCCACAGAAGCCTAGGGACTCCACTTGGGAATGACCCTGTCAGAGCAATATGCAGTGCAGTATATATTGCTTGATATGAAAAGGGATAAAGTTCACTAATGAGAACTTCACTGTAGTTTTGTATCTTCTTTACAACTGAGATATAATGGAGGAAGATAAATATATTTATTATGGATGATATGTATCATGGATAAATTTTATCCGCCAAAGAGAGACTAATACGAATTCATTTATTTATGTCAACTTAGGTCATACTGTCTGTATTTTGTTGTAATTGGCTATATTAATATGATCAGGACTGCATCATGATTTCTATTCCATGTGGAAACTAACAAATGTACTGTTTTTAAACAACAAAAAACAACTACTGTAAAGCACAAGCCTTAAAAGGAAGGAAATGTTCTCAGATATCAGCAGGATGATTACAGAAGTCTGCCAGTTGGTAATTTCCCCTAAGAGTGACCCGAGATTCTAGCCTGAAAGAAGTCCAACTTTCCCATATGCCCTGCCCAGATGGCAGTTGTGGAAAAGACCAGACTGAGTACGATGGACACTACAGACAAAGCAAACGGTGGGAGCTATGAGTTGGAAGGAGGCGTTTGCAGCCAGTTAAACCTTGCTGATGCTGGCTCACACCCAGCAGGTTAGCTCAGATGCAGCCAGGCAAACCAAGACCCAGGTTGAGCAGTAGCTGTCACACCTGTACCTACCCCCTAACCTCTGAGCTTCAGGCAACTTGAGCAAGATCAGCCAGGAAAGCCATGCAGGAGAGACTAGGCATTGAAACCTGGTCTCTAAATCAAGTGGTCCAACTATTTCTCTTGATCTCTTATCATTTGTGTATTTTTTCTGGATGAACTATTTAAAAAAATCAATTTCAGAATGCAAATCTTGTGTGAATAATTTATTTTTTTTTCATGTTTAGTGGCATTATGTAGGAGGAGAAACAAAGTAATAATTTTTTAAAAAAGGCAAGGCTTAAAATAGCTAATTGATATACAGGTTTCCTGACAAAAATAGTTTTTCTGAGGCATATTTTCACAATGTGGCCACCTAATGACACTTTAAAATAACTCCAGTATTCATTTTGGACTGGACCTGTCTCACTATTGCCCCACGCCACCACTCAAGCTATGGGTGCCTGGCTTTGTTCTGCCACGGAATGCTGGACAATTTCTTGTTAAATATCATAAATGTCAAATCTATTAAATATCCTCAAAACCAAAAACCTCATCTCTTTCTCCTGAAAATTTAGCTGTGGCGGAGTTGGGTTTTTTTTTTAGACAACATGCTTCATTATTTTAACAGTCTGTTTTTTACTATAAGTGTCATTTTATTTCACTTACGCATTGATAAATCTTAGAAAGACTGGATGACAAGATAATTCCATTTCTTTTCTTAAAAAAGTATCCACAATGAGGAACAAAATAGCCTGTCATTAGCACCAAAATCCTACAATTACAAGAAAATACCACCTATACAAATGTTTTTATAGTTCACTCCACAGTATGAAAAAAAATTTTCTAGCTCCCTCCCAATAAAAAACTTTTAGATACCAGAGTTCTAATTGCACTTATCTTTCAAATGGTCTTGGACAAATTACTTTGTATTAGGAGTTTTAAAGCTATAGAGATAATCAAGATAAGCCTGAACTAGTTGTCTTATGTATCAGAAGCATTTACACTTCTTATCACTGATTAGCCCTGGGGGCAAAAAAGCTGTGTCAAGTATGGTGTCATGGACAAAGCCACAGTGAGAAGCCACATTTGCTGAGCTCTGTTCATTAATTGCCCTTCATATACATAAGCAATTAACACCTTTGAACTATTGACAAAAACCCCCGCTCGCTTTGAGGCACTTCATGAGAAAATTTGTGTTGTGCAACGTAAAGCATCTAACCCAGATGTCACAAGCTGCAGCAAGGAAAGTTCTGGCTGGATATAAAGAAAACACTTTTCACAGCGTAAGTTGTGAACAAACCTGGCACATGTCGTCCAGGGAGGTTGTGGACTCTTCAACCTTGGAGATATTTAAAACTCACCTGCACCAAGCCCTCAGTAGCCTGAGTCAACCCTGGAGTCAGTCCTGCTCTGGGGCTGGACCAGATGACCTCCAAAGATCCCGTCCAAGCTAAATTGTCCTGTGACCCACTCCTAGCTGACGCAATGGGCTCAGACAGATGGAAAAGGAGACTTTGATACCCATCAGCATCAGATACACATTAATGGTCAACAGGACTTCTCGCTATTGACTGATTGGTGTCTTTTTTCCTCTTTTGCTCCACTTTCCAAGAAAGGCATATTGAAGTGCAGCTTAGTTTTCAAATTATATGAAACAGCAACAAAAATCAAACATCCAGTGCAACCTTATAAAATCACTTACAGGAACTTCTGCTGACTTCTGTAAGTACAGAACTGAATTAATCCAAGCAGAAACATCTACTGAAAAGACCAAGTTTGCCTAACAAACAAACACAGGTCTTATCAGACCAGATCTTAACTGACCAGAAACAGAGAATCTGAGTATGAGAATCTGCACATTCTTTCTTTGCTGATCTGTGCTACCTTTTTGTGTATTCCTCCAAAGTTAACACAACATAACTTCCCCCCACATTTTTTTTTTTTAAAAAAAACAAACAAACAAACACAAAACATGCTGGTGTAACAAAACAATTATGAATAAGAAAAGACCAAGTTTGCCTAACAAACAAACACAGGTCTTATCAGACCAGATCTTAACTGACCAGAAACAGAGAATCTGAGTATGAGAATCTGCACATTCTTTCTTTGCTGATCTGTGCTACCTTTTTGTGTATTCCTCCAAAGTTAACACAACATAACTTCCCCCCACATTTTTTTTTTTTAAAAAAAACAAACAAACAAACACAAAATATGCTGGTGTAACAAAACAATTATGAATAAGAAAGAGTCAAAACCAGAAAGTCATAGAGGCTGCTCAATGGTGTAGCACAAGCCTTGTATTAAACAGAAAGGAAGGAGCACACCAGGAGATGTCATGGTGCAAAGAAGGACACTTACAGCATTCAGCCCACAGAGCTGGTAGCAGCCCATGGTGACAACCACGGTAGCGACCTGCCACCGCACAGCACGGGTTCTCAGGAGCTGAAGAACTGACACTAATTTGGTGTTTCTTTGGACTCGAGACTCTGCCAAAACTTCTTCTACTTCATGAGAGACGTCGTCTTTCCCAAGGAAGGTCTGAAATGCTACAAAGAGAGGACACGGACTTTAGGCCAGATACTTGGCACTATGTGCATTTATAACAGACTTTTTTTCATAGAAATGGAAAAGTGTGACACAAACAGGAGACATGGGCTACAACATATTTATTCTTTTGCCAATAATATCATTCTGCGATGGGTATGATCTGTCTCATCCCTGCAACCGGTCTCAGAAACTGCAACAACAATATAAATTGCTTGGCACCCTACCAGCTCTCTCCTCATATTATTTCATATATAATATAGCCTAAGGTCCAGTGCAGACCCAAAACTCTGCAAAACAGCGTTTAATAGAAAAGCAGTTTCGAACATTAATTGACTTGGCTAATTTTGCAGCCTAACAATATATCAGACTTTGTTGCTGTAGATAGATTTGATAGAGAAGTAATAACAAGTAAAAAGTCACCTAAGCCTGGTAAACCAAGGAAAGGCAGACATTTGAAAGGAACAGCTATTACTCTTCAGATTACCTCTTGGTTTTAGTAGCATACCAGCAAGAATTCACTTCATCAAGATGATTAATAAGAGAAAGAATTACCTAGAGAAGTTTCTATTTGTCAATGCTGGAGTCATGAGAGCATATTTACCTGGCAAATGTAAGCAAACAAACTCCATCTCCCCAGAAAAGTACACCATTTAGTATTATATTATCACATATTGATGACTTACTGAGATATCCTTCCACTGCGAATAATAAAAGCTTTCCATCACACAACTCCTTCAAGAGGTACTCTAAACAGATATCTCCTAGTGGAGGTGATGTATCTCCACCAACCTTGTTTTACAGATACTGTATATGCTGATGGTAATTTCATCAATCTTACAAACACACTCCAGGGGTTGGCTTTTTAAGAGATGTTTAAAATTCTCATCATCTTGGAATGACTGCAGAGAAACAATTATAGTACACATACCCCTGCGACAAGGCTTTATGACCCAGTAGGATGCTAACTCTAAAAACAATCCTTTACACAGCAGGTCACTTAAAATTGTTATTTTTATTAGGTGAATAAGTTGATTTAGTTCTCCTAAGAGCCAAATCCATTTCACTCTTATCCACGGCTTTGCATTGTACTGCCTATAAATAAAGGGCCTTCACATTTTTCAGTAAGTGTACGCTGTTTTGGATCATAGGAAGGACCTGGATGGTTAAGAAAGCCAGAGACACCAACTACTCACGATTAAAACACCTGGACTCTATTTAGGTTTTGAAGTTATAAAATTTAACTTTACCCAGTAGGTGAGACGGCCAACTAGTGGCACTTCAATGTTGTGAGTGATAGGTCACACAAATGAACTGGTGGCCTCCCCAGACCACCCTTCTCTGTCCCTTTGGCAGATGCACAATGCTGTGTGCTCTGCCTGCCTTCCCCGTCTGGTGGCCCAGGGAACTAACTTGAGCTCTGGGCCAAGTTTTCCAGAGGCAGTTAGCATTTCTATTGCAATTTAATGGGGTTTACGTGACTCTGCTTAACAGGAAGGATGATTTTTTTAGGGGGATGAACACTGATCACCTTTGGGTGCTGAGTCAATTCATAACATTCATTTGTTCTGATATCCAGTTTCTCTCTTGGGAGAGAAGAGGTCAGAATTTTTAAATCCCTCTGAAAAGATAAATCTCATGCTGTTTGTGACAGGAATTACAATCAGAAATGAGCTAATAAATTCGGACCTCAGAACCCAGAATTTAAGCTGCTGAGTTTTGTCCTTGTGCCACTGACCCCTTGTTATTAAATGACATACTAAATGCCTGTTAAAAAGAGTGTGATGTATTTAAAGGCTACGATAAGAAATGTGAAATTAGAACAATGTCTGCCTATGGTATGTTAGTCAATATCTCATGCTTAAATTACACTTTTCTCAGTATTATTACAGCACTGATAAAGAAAAATTCAGATAAAGATGGGAACAACCAGACATATATCATCATACTCTTCTTTGAAAAGATTCTCTCAGATTTTTAAGCATCTGGTTTATCAGTGTGAATTAGGTCAGTGCACAATTTTCTTTCTTTTTCCTGTCCTTAGAATCCTTGGCATTACTGAAGGGCACACAAGTCAAAAATATAGGTGCAGTCAAGTAAAAAGAAAGCAATCTGTCTTTTCTGCACAAGGGAGCTTGCTGTATTTCTAGAGAGACCAGAAAGTAAAAAACTGCAATTATCAAGATTACCAAGTACAAGGCAAGAAAAATCTAGACACCTGCTTTCTTCTTTCCCCCTCCATGGTATTAGGGCAGAGATGTAAATGCCACTAGGAAACTTTGACAGATATTTAAAATTACCAACAAGCCAAGAAATGCTAAGAAAATGCTATGCTATATATGCATCGTTTTGAGCAGACAACACTCAGTCTTCTTGAAAAAACACATTTTCCTGCTACTCAACACATTTTTAGTTTTCTTCCATCGACAGTGTTTCAGTACAGTAAGAATCACAATTTTAAACATAATTAATGTGGAAATAAATTCTGCATCAGCAGGGAGATGGGAAAACTCAAAGGTCTTTCAATGTGTGATGTTCAATTCTATTCATTTTACATTTTAAATCCCTGCATTATTGGCACTGAGAAGCACAGCAGTTGCTCCTCTCCCCACTGCAATGACTCATTTCCCTCCATGACTGGCTGCTTCTCTCTATAGGGAAGTCTTAGTTCCATGTCATGCTTACAACCATCTAAGGAGTTACACTTCTGGCAACTTTTAGACCTTTCCCAGATTTCTTTTTAGTTCCCTTGGATCAGAAGGTCCTAGATGCTCAGCTTTCAAAAGCTGGTGTATTGTCTTTATAAACAGTAAAAAAAGTGAATGGTTCCAGTCAAGGGGAAAGGAGATGGGAAACCCTTCCATGTACACCACCAACTTTTATTCGTCTCAGGCAAGTAAAGGTGTTTCAGAAGTCTGAACAAAATCAGGTCAGTGTTGTCTTTAAAACCAATCAGGCCTTTAAATTAACAAAGACAGGCACTCAAGAACTCAACTACATATTTTTCCACTGTAGTACCTCCACGACTATTCAAAGAAATCAGCTGTTACTGTAAAGACCAAATTAGCATGTAAACTTTGAGAAGACATTTAAAAGGATCAAAATGCTATTGTGTGGTTTACAGAACAGAGCCAGCCCCAGGCAAGAGAAGGCAGAAAAAGAGAGTAGTTGTCACTGGTAGTAGTTTGGGCAACAGGGCTTATGCCTTTAAAAACTAAAAAAAATAAGAAGCTGCATGAGTATTATTGTCATCCGTTTCCTTTGCACATATTCATTTTCACTTCACTGATGAATATTATACCCAATGTCTTTAGCACAAAGCTTTATCTAAGCTCTGCTCAAACACATCCTCTTTGGCCACTGTGGGAGACAGGACACTGGGATGTATGGATGCAGTCAGGCATCTTCCAGTAATGCTGGCTGCAGTTGAGTGGTGGTAGACATATTTGGGGTGCCCTATGGTTTGCCTCACCGCTTGCAAAAAGTTCACCCAACTTCAGTGATTCTGAATTGGATATGTAGTAATTTCCCTGTAGTAACTTTATGTCAACACAAAAATATCCAGCCAAATGAAAAAACAGTTATTTTCATATACTGTTAATTTTGTTAAAGCACTGAATAGCCAGAATAATAATTTAGATGTTACCTTGCTAGATGAGATTTAAATAGCTATTTAAAACTAGCAAAACATTAATTAACCACTAGCACGTAGCACAGCAAAGTTTAAGAAAAAATCCCAAATTTGCTATTCCAATTCAGTAAATATAACGGCAAGAAAAAGCTTTAGGCTTTTCCCATGTGTCTTCTCCTCCTAAGGAACACACAGATCATCTTCTGTGAGTTATTATCCAATTTAGGGTTACATCTTTACTTGTTCTTATGTCTGGTTTCACAGACCATCAATGCAAAATAGGCCTGTTCAGGTTCATTTGAAACTAGTAAACAGGTAAAACACAGTATCCACGTGCCACCCTAAAATAACACAAGAATTAGTAAATTGAGTTGTATCAAAGGCCCAAGTATCCTTTGTGAGAGACAGGAGTTTTAAGAAAACCTTAAAAACAACACACACACCACAATCACTGCAGCTTTTGACAGGCAGCAACCATCTGAGATGGAGACTCTAACATGAGCCAGCAAGTGTAGTAGCCATGGATGTCTCTTCCTTTCCAATAAGCATAGCTTATAATGCTTAATGCCACACAAAAACCACAGATAAGCAAAAATGAATCACATATGTCCTCATTGTCAGTCATAACAACTTCATTTAAATCACTGGATTTGCAGCAATTTGTTCCTGCCATAAACTTTGGTTTTAATATCTCTCCTGTCCATGTGGGCCCCATGAATGACTTTGTAAAAAATTAGCTACCTACACTTTTAAATCAGGAATGGCTTCTTCACTTTTTTATCACATCAAAAGGTACCAATTCTAATCTCTCTAAGAATTTGAAGCTACACTTCTTGTTATACCTGGTGTAATGCTTCTTTCATAACCACAGGAGTTTTGATGACTGAACATACTAGATGAACAGATTTTGTATGCCACCAACAGATGTTACTGTGACATTTTATCTAAGTTATTTGACTCTTTAGACGTAACAATATTCTTGTTGTCTGACAAGCTGGGATGCCAGCTGAACGCCATTACTGATTTACATGACCTGCTACTGTAGCTGCATCGAAAACGCAGGTTTCTTCAAAAGAGACATGCCAACTCTCCAACTGAAAGTGTTTATAACCAATGTTGTTAGTCATTAAAATGCTTTATCACACTATTACTACTGTTTTTATTTATTTTGCATCACTGCCACAGTCACAGATCAGGGGTCCACTTGGAATGCAACTAATAGACAACTAACATCAAATTCCTGTCTTACCGTCCTAGAGCTTGGATGGTAAACTGGCTGATGCAATTCTAGCAGCAGGTTTTTCTTTTTCTTCCTGTTCCTATCCCTGTTAGCCTTCTCCCCACTCCTACTGCTGTCTCCCACTGAATAATGATGTCCTTCCAAAGTCCTTCTCAACCATTTAAATACTCATTTCTCCTCTGCTGTCTGGTGAGCATTATGAAGAAGGATCACACCAGTTAAACGCCAGGCATTTTTCTCCCTTCTGTTCTTACCAAGGGAGGAGAGTGTTAGTTATGGGACCTGGGAGCAGAGCTGGGATGGTTCTACTCCCTCCCCATTACCAGGCTTTTATCTTCTTGAGCAAAGCAGCTTTACAGATCGTGCAGTTGGTCCAGTCAGCTGTTCTCCCCCCATGACACAAATGTGTTCTCCCACATTCAGCAGTGAGATAGGGATATGGGAGACTCCTGTTGGTCTCAGGGAGTCAGACACAGCATGGTGACCTCCAGTAAGACAAGCAGAGCTTGGCTGCTAGCACTGCTTTTGGCCACAGACATGACTGCAAGTCAGCCACGGCATCTGTAGGGCTGGTTGGGCAGGCGTTGGCTCAGCCACCCACAGCGTGCACCACTTGGGCTGCTACAGAGGGGAAAGCAGGGAACCAGGTAGATCTCCATTAGTGGAGCTCAGGAGACATCACTCCTCTGGGGCCTCACTACTCCTGCACTCATGGAGCAGCTTTTCTAGTGGTGGTGTGGTTTATGCCCACACACGATGCCCACCTGCTCTAACCTCATCCTTCTCTTTGTTCATCACCTACACAACACATTTTGGTCCTTCTCCCTCTTTCAGTCTCTTGTTTGCCACTTAAAGGCATCACGCTTTTTTACACCTCTGACAAAAAGGTGTAAAATACACTGCCTGTATTTTGGTAGTTATAGTTTGCTTATCTCCTGGGGACAGGAGAAAAGGAGGGGATGAAAGCAGGAGCAGAACTTCGTGAAAACTCAATGACCTACATTATACCACTGGATTTTTATTGCTCTAAAACAATTAGGAAGATTAACGTTGTCATCTCCATTTTAGAAGCTTTGACATACACGTACATTTTAGAGTATTTTACAAAGACTAATGCAGTCATCTGCCTAAAATACAGTAGACCTTTTACAAATAACAGCTTTATATTTCTCCAACAAGATATAATCCACAGTGAAATGTATATTTGCATGAATAACCTTGATCTGTTAGGGGAAAGAAAAAGGATTTAGTCAGAAGAAAGACTTGCATATTTCTAATATTAACATGCAGATTTACCCTGAGAGGCAAATAATTCAAAAGCATTACTGTAGTCATTAAAATGGAGAATACTGCATTGTCATTATATGGCTTACAACCCGTAGGTTTCTTTAGTAACCCACAAACTCCACTGGTCTCCCTAATACTCAGGCTTTTCCTCTGTTTCTACAGATAACGCTAACATCCAGATGAATTTTCCTGACTGTTGACTCATGGTTATTCACCCTCCTATTTTGTGAATTCCCCTCCCCACTTGCTTTTGTTATTCCACTGCATTACTCCAGATACCCAAAATTTGGCTCATGCCCAATCTGGATTTCTCCATACACCCTGGGGTGGGGAGGAGGGCTCCAAAGTCCCTACACCAGTCTAGCATCACAGGTGTCCTCTACCTGGTCATTCCATGAATGAACAAAACTCCTTCCCCACCCATCCACATGGCCAACAGAGATCTGAAGATACTGTCACTTGCAAATCTACATTAGGAGAGGGGGGATTACAACGGATGTGCAATGGTAAGAAAATTGTATGTGTTCCTGACACGCTTCATAATAAGGCGTGTAGATACTTTATAACAGGGAAGTATAAGATGATATGATCTATGGTGCCTTAACAGGTGGATTTTATGAACTCCAAAAACATGTTTAAGAATCCTTACCTATTTTGCACCTGATATCCTACAAGCTACCTTGCCTGTGCAACAGGATGGCCAATTCTGGAAGCATGGCTGCTTGATAGGCCAGGAATGAGACGGAAATTCAGGAAGATGTGTACATTTCACTGTCCTACGGTCCTTTGCAAACCTCTGTCTGGAATCACTGGCCCCTACCTGTTTCGAAAGCTCTGTAGACTACACTCAAAAAGAGTTTCACTCTGTACTACAACATTATCTCAGTATTTGTTTTTTCTTTTAGAATTAGTCCAAAAATTAATTCCAAGTGTCCAAAAGCTTCTATTCATAAGCAGTTACTTTGAAAAGTTTTTTTTATATCAGTCTCCTCTTTTTTTTTTTTTTTTCTCAGAGTGTCTAAATTTATAGTCATTAACGTGGCTCCTGAAAGCCACCTTCTCATAATCGGCCAGCCAATTGCTAAAGCTCATTTGGTAGTCTTCAGCTACCAAATAAGTTGTGGGGAATTTTGCTCTCCTGATATCTTTTACTCCAAAGTCCACCTCCAGTACTTCTAGATTAGCTTTCAAACCATTTTCAGAACATGTATGCTGAAAACAACCCAGACTGCAGTTGGCCCACCACCAGCAACAGTAAATGGTGTGAAATTCAAGGCAGGTGGTGCTATTTCACTGCCAGCTTTTTTTTACAATTTTTAAACTCTACCTGGGTAGGGCCCAGCTCCCCTGTCAGTGCTGAGGTTTCCAGGTACTGTGACAGCATTGCCAACAGATCCCCATAACAAGTGTGACATTATGCAACAGCATTGCAGATGCAGGCTCTTTGCCAGGCATAGTTCCAGAAATACATTTACAACTTTATCAGGTAGAAACGAGCCAGTTTAAGCTTGGCAGCCGAAGGCGTTTCTTCCCAGCCCAGCCGTGGTGCTGCAGAAGTCACCACCCAAGACCCAGCCCCAAGCTGCTCACCACTTCTGGGTGCTCTGACCACGGCTGGCAAGGCAAGCCCTCTTCTCCACCAGCACTGGAAAAGCTGTTCTCTGCCTCATCAAATCTCCACTGATTCTGTAAAGCTACAGAACTTTACCCAAAGCCCTACTGCTTTTGTGCTCTCCTTTTTTCTTTCTTTTTTTTTAATTTAATTTTTTTAAACACTTTTCTGTATCTTCAAGTGTTTCAAACCCCAACACGTACAAAAGTCTTCATTCAACACCAAACTGAGACAACATGGGAGTCTCTTCATGAGCGTGCCACTTGTACCTCAGAGTGCTCATCAGAACATAACACCAAACTGAGACAACATGGGAGTCTCTTCAGAGCGTGCCACTTCTATCTCAGAGTGCTCATCAGAACAAAAAAGGCCAGTTTTTCACTTCATAGTAGAAGAAACAGGGTAGAGTTGTATTTACTTAATGCTAAATCATTATTAAATTTAAGTTTCAGGGACTGATTTCACACTTTGCAAGTAGTTTTGCAAGCAACTAGTTAGTGACTGAAAATGTGAAGGGTTATATTCAAATGAAGTTCTTACGAATAGTTTTTAAGTGCAGTTATGTTCTGCAAACATTCTGGTGTTATAACCAGAATTATTCCTGCTAGGTAAATCTTATTTTTAATGTGTTCCTATAATGAGAAAACCCAAAATTTTCATCATTCTCTCAGCCATAATGTGATGGTATATTATAACTTAAAACTGACCACAGTAATTTTACTGCAGCAGCGTATACAGCAGCTGGGATCACACAAGCAAATTCTTTTATACCTACAGCCTAAAATAAGAACAAATTATTCTGGTCTGTGCCTGTGAAACTGCAGCAAGTTATACGGAAGCACTGAAAATATTCAGTTCAATAGGTGTTTGAGTTTTTCATTAGATCTGCGAAGCTTATTGAGTTGCAGAAGCACAGGGTCGAAACACAGTGACTACTGAGCAAAACCCAGCAACAGAACTGGTGTTTTTGTGAGCCAAGCTGCAAAGACTGCGGGCAAGGGAGAGTCGTGAAGACTGAAATCACCTTTCGCTCCCAAATGAACCCTGAATATAGTGGCTGACGCACAACAGCAGGATGATTTGTTTAGCTCTGTATCACCATGCGTAATGCTACCTGGGTTACTTTGTTGGAGAATTTCATCTATTTAAAAAAAAAAATAATCTAAGCAACAGTTATTTTTACACACACAGAGACAAAAAGGTGAGGGGAAAAATAACTGCCAAGAGACTCTCTCCTGTTGGAATATTCCGTGACATCAGAATTGCTTTCCAGCCTGCATCCCTACAATAAACAGTCTTCTGTTGCAAGAAAGTAACTCATCATACCTTTTTCTGCCTTGCTCCTGTCGTGCTTTTCAAGCAGGAGGTAACGAGGACTTTCAGGAAGAAAAGGCAGAATCATGGCTTGTATCAATGAAGGCACAACGATTGCTCCAAATAAGTAAGGCCACCGAGATTCCTGCAAACAGATGCAAACACCAGTCAGTAACAGTCTCCCATAGTGATACTATAGAAAGAAAAATAGCTTTGATGGGAAATGTTGTAACTTTTCAAGATATTGTGTCAGTGAGCAGAGTGATGTCTTCTGCCTGAGCTCAGTAAGCAGTCTGAACACTTCACCCTCAGATCACCTTACTCAAGGACCGAGGAAGACAGAATTCAAGCCATTAACTGGCTGAGCATGAAAAGAGAGAGGCAAGGAAGCTGGAAAACACAGTATATAACATGTTTTTCCTTTCCTTTAGCATCAACAATATATATGTGAAAATCTGATATATACTCAAATAGATGTTCTACAAGTCATCCCCACAGTAGTATCATGAGCTTCAAGAAACAACGCACCACCATTTTCATATAGTTACATATACCCGCAAGTTGTCTCTTACTCGAATCTAATTGCTCTAAAAAAATATATATGTGTACATATATATTTGGCTCAGTCCTCAAATTCTCATAGTATGGGCAAAATCCTGCTAAGACTTCAGCTAAGCTGCTTTTAACACAGTTTTGTGGCTCTTGGTGTAATGCAGGCAGTGACCGGTCAGCATTTCACAGCTGCTGGGAATGAACCAAGCTGGGCTGAGGTCTCACCAGAGGCCTCTTCTACTTGGAAAAACACAACATTTGCCTTACAGGTACAACTAACACACAGTCAGGCGGCTCTCATTTCCATTCAGAAAAGATGGCATATGCAGTTCAATGTAATTAGCGTGAAAGACAGCTATATAATTTAACAACAAACAAGCTACCAGGCTAACTGTAGTGAGGTTGTCTTTATAAATGTTTTCTCTTGCAGCCAATGATTCCCCCTCTTAAGCTGGCTTCCATGATAATTTAAGCATAAGAAATGGGTTTCACCTATCCTCCTGCCCAAAATCATGGGACCTTAAAGAAGTCCTTTGCATCTATGGTGGTGTAACTAAGAATACTTATAAACATTATACAAAATACTAAGAAAAATTCTACTGTTTCCCACTCTGAATTAGCTGACCCAGCTCAGATATTCAAACAAAACACTAACAGCCCTGTTCCCAAGTCCATGAGATAGAAAGTACTTTTTCTACTGCCTTGCAAGTAGTCTTCTGGAAATTCTCCAGCAAGAACCTGAAACCCGAGAGCCATCTGCAGTATTCCCACCAACTCGAAGCACCAATGACCCCTTCTCTGGCAAGTCCCCCCTGCAGAAGCCAGGCAGTTTTCACCTGCCAGAGCCCCACCATTGTGCAGGCAAAGAGCACAAGGTGCTGCACTATCCAACACCATTTATATCAATCTGCTCAACTGCTAGCACATTTCAGACAAAAATTTACTGTGATAATTTTCTTTGAAATCAACTGAAACGAAGTTGTTAGCATCCTCAAACATATTCATTATTTGAAACCAGCTGCAGAGGGTGATCCGAGCAAAGCTCTTTCAGCAAAAGGCTGGGAAAGAGTAGAGAGCTCATCTCTGGACTTACTCTCAAGACAGGATACTTTCAAATAGCTGAAGGAGAAAGGTGCCAGCAGTATTATTTTCTCCTCAAAAACGGCCCTCAATCTGTCCATGTTCTTAAGATGCTTTCTGTTCCAATTGAATGTCAAGATGAAAATTTTTAGTTGTATTCTCCAAGTTCAGCATTCATCTATTTAATTCAATGCTTTCTAATTTGAGATTTTGTTCTTAATTGAAAAACCTGCGAAGACCTCAGTGGGCCTACTGTTCATCATGTCTAGCACATTTTCAAAAGTTTGGCTAGACGAAAGTCATGAATCCATCCATTCAGAGCCCATGCTTCCCCAAACAGATATGGATAAATTTTATTCCAATGTCATTTTTCATTGTTTAATTGAAGGTCAAAAGCCCCCAAACTACTTCCTGTTGATAGTTTTTAATTTACATTCTCCCACTTCAGCAATGCAACTCCTAAAACACAGCTTACCCATGGTATGGGTGTAATGTACTTCCTGTTGATAGTTTTTAATTTACATTTTCCCACTTCAGCAACACAACTCCTAAAACACAGCTTACTGCATGGTATGGGTGTAATCCAACCCTCGAACCTGAACTAGGGTCTGAGATAAATTAGTAACATAGAGTATGAAGATTATCTCCTAATGAAACTTTTCATCTGCCCTTTAAGTGACAGTTTGGGGTGTGTTGGTTTTTTTTAATCTCCTGGGATGAGAAGACAACTCAAGAAAGGAGTTTTTTTGTGCCCTTTAAGTGACAGTTTGGGGTGTGTTGTTTTTTTAAATCTCCTGGGATGAGAAGACAACTCGAGAAAGGAATTTTTTTGAAAAAAAAAATTTAAAGCTCAAGGTTATCAGTCTTCCTTAGAGCCTCTGTTACCATGAGGACTTCAAGATCCTATTTTTTCATTCTGAATTTTTCTTTTTTTAAATGCAATTGAGTGGAAAACTGCCTAACATCAGAAAACCAAGAGTGGTTAACACTCTATTTATAAAAGCAAATGAGTCTCAGTCTTATTTTAAAAATTAGAAAATTAAACTTATGTTAAGAATTAAGATCAGTTAATAAATCACATTAAAAAATAGATAGCTGTTTGTGAAGAATAACTTATGAAAACAGGCAGCACAACCGATAAGTTTCAGTTTATGTCTGCCTGGAATCCAACATTTCTTTCATACAAAATAATTAAATTTTTTTCATTCTTTCATTTAATTTCTGTCATTATTTCCTATAATATAAATACACTTATGATGTACTACTTAAAAAACTTACAGGGCATTAAAAAATAGATAGCTGTTTGTGAAGAAAACAGGCAGCACAACCAATAAGTTTCAGTTTATGTCTGCCTGGAATCCAACATTTCTTTCATACAAAATAATTAAATTTTTTTCATTCTTTCATTTAATTTCTGTCATTATTTCCTATAATATAAATACACTTATGATGTACTACTTAAAAAACTTACAGGGTGGTAGAACCTTTTACAATACTCCTAGTTAAAATTCTTTCTCTTGATCAGCACATCATATTTCCTGTAGGTTTTTAAGATCAGTTAATAAATCACATTAAAAAATAGATAGCTGTTTGTGAAGAAAACAGGCAGCACAACCAATAAGTTTCAGTTTATGTCTGCCTGGAATCCAACATTTCTTTCATACAAAATAATTAAATTTTTTTCATTCTTTCATTTAATTTCTGTCATTATTTCCTATAATATAAATACACTTATGATGTACTACTTAAAAAACTTACAGGGTGGTAGAACCTTTTACAATACTCCTAGTTTAAAAAAGCAGCACATCGTATTTCCTGTATTTCCTGTATTTCCATAATGCCAAGGACACTTTTTAAAGGCAAACAAAAAAAATGTCTCTCCTGTATATTGTTGCTGTTAAGATTCTGACAACCTATGGAGACTTACTTGGAATAAGCTTTCACCCCTTTTAAAGTCTCCCAGAGTGCATGGTTTTTCACATTTCTCTCAAATAAGTCTTCTGAAAGTGTTATTTTGAAAAAGCTATGAACAAGACTGAAGTTCTCAACTTACACTTTGCAATAAATAACAGTATAATAAATGACAGTATAATAAAAAGCCTTCTATTTTCACTATATAAGACACTGAGCTTCCTTTATTTCCTCTATGAAAGATTTCTGGTTTACTTTTTATTATGCTAACTTCAAGTAAATGTTAACCTTAAAATAAAACAATCATAAATACGCTCCCCACTTGCCATTGCCGGCATGAGTTGATCAGAAAGTCACTGAAGTCAACAGAAACTTCTCCATCCATTTCAAAAGGTTTTTGATGATGCCTATTCAATGCTATAGAACATGCATTCTACTTGCTTTTTTCTTAATTTACATTATTCACGTTAAAATTCCTCATTCCTAAAATCTTCTAAAATGTCCATACATTTATTGCCCCGAAAGTATAAAATACAAATTGCTGAACATCAAGCTGAATTAAGATCCTATAAAGAGAATTAAAAGCAGGAGAAAGAGGGGTTCCCTAACCTTTTTAAGAAGGAATAGGACAAGATACAAGCTGGGACAATGTTCAGAAGCAATATTAAGGTAAAGGCAGAAGACAGTGTAGGCATGACTTAGAAGACACATTAACACTTTACCTCAGTTGTCATCAGTAAGGAGAAGCACACAGGCACTACTGAGAGAAATGAAAACAACCGCGTCCCATTTTATCTCAGGAAAAACTTAAAAGAGCGTTAAATATTTTAATTACAGGGGACCTGACTCATCACCTGCTCAGAATCGGTACAAATAACATGTCAAGATGGTAAGATTTTAATTTTAAACTGTCGCATTATGGGTATTTGCTTAGGCTAGAGCATGAAAAACCCCGCTTTGATCTATTTACAAAAGACAGTTAAATAGTAGAGCGAGTTTGACAACTACAGCCTCATTCAAAGGTTGGTATAATAAAGTGCAAAGCTGCAGAAATAGGGGGGGAGAAGGGGGAAGGAAATGGATAAAGCACGACATAGATTTATCAACTGCAAATTAGATGAGATTAAATTATACCAAAAATACAGTAAAGCAAATGTAACTATGCCAGAGGTTCATCTGCTGAAGTGCAGAAAATGGAACTTACTGTAATAATTTAGAAGTGAAAAAGAAACTGGCATGGGGAAAATGTCAACAGGCACTACTGAAAGCTGAACTACTGGTCCATATGAAGTTCAATGACCTATTTAAGCACTGTTTACATTCAATATTTTATTTGAAGACCCTCCCAACACAGAAAAGGCTAAGAATATGTATGCATATATAAAAATCTTAAAAGGGAGAACTGAATCGTTGACAAGGTCATACAACAGTGGGAAGAGGAGCTGTACTGCCCTGTATGTAGGCATTCATGTTTGGAAAGATCTAGTGAGGCCAATTAAGTATACCAGTACAAGATGTATGACAGGATAAAAAAGACTGAGTAAGGAGATACATGAACCGCCACAGGCTTTAATGTATGACAGGATAAAAAAGACTGAGTAA